TGCTAAGCTTTCGTCTCTACTGTGACATACATCATCAGAGCAAGATTCAATATTTTACGAAACAGGGCAATAATATGCTAAGCCAAAAGAAAAGATAGCCGTATGCAGCCATAGTCGCTTTTGTATGCACTAACATCACGATCTTAATGAGGCATTCCATCAGTTGGTTGGCTACTTTAACATTACTCTACATGCCTACGAATGAATGAAGCTTGCTTCCCGAACCTGAAGTACGTCTGGTGGTAGGTGTTTAATTACGTAAAAGATTAGCGTACTATCATCTTATGTTGAATCATGTTTGGGCTTGTGCTATTGTTTACTGTTTGCATGTAATGCTCATGCTCATGGGAATTTGTGATAGTCCTCGATAAACTCGAAGCTAACCCAGCCGCCTTCTCTTGCTCAGTGGTCTTCCTGCAACCCCTCTCTCATCTTTTCCTTAAGTCTATCCAACAGCCACAAATAGTTCATACTTGTTTTTCGTATATAAGGAGAGGTCCGAGACTACCAGTAAATCAGCTGCATGAGATGTATTCAGCCTATTTTGTTTAAGGTGTTGAAAGACTTGTAGTAAAATTTTCTCATAATGATATGAGTAGAGCTGATATTTTGCATAGCCTTGCTTTGCCAAAAGTTGTTCTCATCCAGAGTGGACTGGAGTTTCGACCTCGAACCCAGAGGGAGTCGAACCGTGACAGTGCAGCATGTGAGCTAAACACGTTAACCACTCGATTACATTGCCAGTTGAATATACTTATAGTTGCATACAAAAATTAAGTAACGTAGTCGAATGTTATATCAAATTTACGTTTGCTTCATCAACAATCCCACCAAAGAATATGATATGACAAAAGGCCTGGCCTTCCTTGAAATTCACATCTGCTCTGTGACTCAAGGGCACTCCTAGCAATGTGGCCGAGTGGTTAAAGTGTTAAGCTCACATGCTGCACAGTCATGATTGAACTCCTGCAGAGGGTGTTAATAAAACAAATGCAAGGTCTAAAATTTAGTTCAGCCTGGATGAGAAAAACTTCTGGGAAAGCAGGGCTATGTAAATTTATTGGAAATGTCAGCTCTATTCATATCGAAGGTATGAAGACCAAGATGGTGTGGCCTTTTGTGTAGTCGAAATCTCCTTTCGTTGTATAGAGGTTGTTTGACCCTGTTTTCGCAACTTCGTCATATTGGTAGGGAGACTTAGAGGAACGCACCTAGTCCGGAGTCCATTTTATGCATGATAATTTCCAAAGTCGGACCGTGGATGTGGTACATTTCCAGACGTTTCGCCGGAATTCGAGTCAGCATCGTCAGTAATTATCGTCATTCTTAACACCACACACCAACTAGTCAGAGGCAAGTGAAGCCGATCCTTTGACCAAACGTGTGTTAAAGAGTTTTGGTATCCCATCTTCTGCCCAGGGCTATTCACATTTCCTATATCCTCCTATCACCCCTTCAGTGTTACAATTTTTACCTTGCTTATTTAGATGTAGTGTTGCGTGCTCCTTTGAGCGGAATTCATGAAAACCCTTCATAATCCACGCTGTCGTACTCACCTCCTTCTCCCTTGAGCTGAAAATGCTGATCAGAGTCTGCCATATTGTTACGCAGTCCTCCTTCCCTAAGTCTTATCACAGTCTCTCTTTGCCTCGTCTCCTATATCCCTGGTTCACGTATCTCGCATGACCCCTGCCACCCCATCTAAGCTACTTGAGGCATTATTCTCCCTTCCCTGCGTCTGGGTGACGAATTCAAGGCTAAGGCCTCTGAGTAAGTCTCATTTCCAAGCCTTTGCTACATGGACCAACGTGTATGGCAGTGGTTTCCAAACTATTCCTAGTCGCGGCGCCCTTTTTCAATTAAAATTTTTCCATGGCGCCCTACCTTAAGTATGACTATTCTTAAGCAAGAGATAAAAATAAATAAAACTCGTGTATCCTCATTATTTTTTTAACGTTATTAACATTAAATTAATATTTAATTATTAATGTGATAAATGAGCCTGCAAATCACTACACATTTTTTCAAATTAAAGCTTTTACAATATTTCACGGCGCCCCTGTAAAGAGGCCGCGGCTCACAGTTTGGAAATAACTGGTCTATGGGAAAACCTACTGTCAGCCAACTAGATCCAGTCTCTGCCGCGTCTATCCTGTTTCTATCCGTAATACCAAGTCTATGATTTGCTATGCCTTAGTCTCTTGTGTGCTAACCCACAAGTGTTGTGATACTGCTTGATTTGATTAGGTTCAATGTTGAACCACGACCTTCTGTGGATTGGCACACAAGAGACTAGGGCTTAGGAATTCATAGACATGGTATTATAGATAGAAAGAGGATAGAAGCAGCGGAAGCTAGAGCTAGTTGGCTAACAATAGTCGCGATTCAAGGATCATGTCTATGATTAAAAAAGTATATTGTTAGCCAAATAGCTCTAGTCTCCACCGCGTCTTTCCTGTTTCTATATGTAATACCATGTCTATCATTTCCTATGTCCTAGTCTCTTGTGTGCCAACCCACAATTATAGTTGTTCTACTTGTTCTGATTAGGCTCACTGAAGACGTCTCCTCTAGCCTTCTGATTGTTCCTTTGTTGCCCCCCTGCTATCTCTTTCCATGAAATTAAGGATATTAACTTGATCCAGTCATCTTCTTTTTTGCTGAGCTTACTGTTGCCTCGTCTTTTCCGAGTTTGTCTAGGCAATATGCTAAGTTTTTTTTGATCCTGCCTTCTTAAAGTCTCTGGTTCATTAGATTTCTCTCGTTCAGTATATCGGTGGCCTCTTGGATCTTGTGTATTCTCGTATTTTTACCACATGCAGCCAAACTTTAAGCCGATTTTCAGTCGATTTCGTGTCCTGTTCGTGCAATGTGTTCCGCTATTTCGGTTATTTTTGTATCCATGTTCCAGCAGAGTCTATGATCTTCCTTGATTCTTAGACCGATTTTTCTTCTTGTTTCACCGATATACTTCTACTCACAGTTGCCGCATTTGATGCAATAAACTCCCGAGCAATTAAGTTTTTTCGTGGTCTTTTGTTGCGTCGGCAGACTGGGGCAAAGTGTTTCCTTCTTATTTTCTTCTCTTTCTATCTATAATACCAAGTATATGACTTGCTATGCCCTGGTCTCTTGTGTGCCAGCCCACAAACATTGTGGTTCAACATTGAACCTAATAAAAGCAAGCAGTACCACAAAATTTGTGGGTTACCACACAAGAGTCTAAGGCATAACAAGTCATAGACTTGGTATTACGGATAGAAACAGGATAGACGCTGCGGATACTGGATCTAGTTGGCTGACAGCAGGTTTTACCAAAGACGACAGCGAGGAGTGTGAAGGGTTTTCATGAATGCAGCTTAAATGAGCTACATCTAAATAAGTACGGTTCTGTTTTTTCAAATAATACTTAGACCTTATACTGTTTTCGGGAAAACTAAATCAATGGGGATAGAAATGGTACATAAAAAAGTCAAAAGAATAAATGCGTTATTATACATACAATAGATTTGATGAGGCTTACGCTGACAATTTCACGGTCTTGCAGGCAATTCATCCGATCCTCAAACACACGTATACATTCATGTCGCCAGAGGCGAAGAAACTTTTTTGGGCCTTTGAACCTCTCAGGATTGGCAAAGCAGAGGCCTTGGAAAAGGCGAAATATGTCTCGCAAGTTGAAGGTGTAGTGAAATTTGGTCGGCGTAGGAAGCAAGCGATTTCGAACAGTTCTGATAAAGATAAATAATCAAAAATGACGATCCTTGAGAAATAATAATAAAAACTCATGCATTTGACTTACTGATAAGCTTTGATACTCATTAGTGTAAATGTTGGTGCTTCGTTTATGAGGCGATGCGTGAACCCGTTAGCCATATGTCCGAATAAAATGCCACCAAAGATAGTAAACATGGAGTCATTAGAAGGGCAGAGAGCATGGAAAACTGAGAATAGCGAAACAAATCGAGGATCCAGAGCATGCCTACCGCCTCCTGGTGGACCCATACTTCCAAGGTAAGTTGTATCCTTTAGTCGGCGCCAGGACATCTCTTTGGCGATCTGATCGTAAAGCCCACCTCGACCGATCAGCAAGCGCATCAAAGCGATAGGTTGTTGAGTGCCATACTCATCCACCTGCATGAGAAGCAAACACGGTATAAGTTGTGGGCAGCATGAGCATAAATGAATATTAAGATTAACAACAAATACATTTCTATGAATGTGACACTTAATTAAGATATATGAGTGAGATGACATGATAATAGAACAAGCGTCAGAAAAGAGTTTATTCGACTTGGTATTAGGGATAGAAATAGGATAGAGGGGGACCGAAGCTAGTTGGTTGAGGGTAGATCGGTTCGACCAGAGTCGTGGTACATATAGCAAACGGGTGACCATGACACTCAGAGGCTTAC